TGAAATCTTCTAGACAATAAGTTCCTTGAGAGCAGGGCCCATGTCTACCAAATTAAGTTAAATATATTCCCAGTAACCTCCAAAGTCTGACATATGATAGAGATTGAGTAGATATTTTTTGCATGAATGGAAGAAGCAAAGAAGAAAGAAAGAAATACCTACTATAGGTTAAGTCAGATTCAAAATTAGATTTGTGTCAGTTAAAAGACTGGACTTCTACCACTGTCTATGATACATATAATATACTAGTGACGCGGTGCACGGATTTGTGCACATTGAAAGGAAATTAATTAGAAAGTGGCTGGCTGGAAGGACTGCAAGAGAAGGGCTGAACATGCCTCGGGGCCAACCTCCGGTGGTCCCTCCCAGGCTTCTGTGCAGTGAACAGGGTCCCTCTGGCAGGTGAGGTCCCTCAGCCTGGCCTGCGGGGATCGGGCCAAAACCAGCTCTCTGACATCTCCTGCGGTGTCCTGGAATGTGAGAGGGCACTCTGCAAACCTCAGTTATAGACAGGTAGCTGAGGCTAGAAGAGAGAGATTCCCAAGGTCATACACCACACCTGCAGTGCCAGTGCCCTGACCAGAGCCACCTTCTCTCTAGCCCAGCTTCCTGTCTAAGGCTGGGGGTGTTGCAGGAGGAAATGGCAGCAGGTGAAATATTAGGGTAGGACCCATGGTCAGGGCCAGACACTGCACACTCTGCTCCCACAGGTCCCCCAAGGCTAATTTCCCAGGTGAGGAAACAGGGGCTCAGGGACCAATCTTCCTGCTTAAGTGGTGGAACTGGGATTAGAACCAGGTCCATGTAGCACCAGAGTCATTCTGCTTCTCCTGCTGGGATGCTGGGCCTGCCATGAACGCTCAGGGTGACTTAGGTCAGCCTTGTCCCTCAGGAGCAAAGTTGCTGTCATACAGGATGTCACAAATGCAACATGCAAGTGTTCAGTAAACCAGATTCGGGGCTGACAGTGTCCGAGCAACAACATAACCCATGGCTGAAGGTGGAATCGCGTGACCCCGTGAGGAATCGGGCTCCCTCCTCTCTGGTTTCAGGGTGCATCACACCAGAACGGCTGCTGCCAAGTCACTGAAGCTCAGTAGCACCTGCATTGAGAGTCTGCCCCCTGGTGGTCAGTGCATGTCATAGCAACTGGTGGAACACTTAGCATATAGCCTTTTATATATATTACTAGAGACCCAGTGGACAAAAATTTGTGCACTGGCGGGGGCAGGGGAGGTGTCCCTCAGCCCCACTTGTGCCCTCTCACAGTCTGGGACCCCTCGGGAGATACCGACCTGCTGGCTTAGGCCCGCTCCTGGGTGGCAGAGGGCAGGCCCAATCCCTAGGTGCAGCCCCTGGTAGGGCTCAGAGCAGGGCCGATTGGGGAGGTGGGACAC